TGTTTGTTTGTTTGTTTTTCAAGACAAGGTTTCTCTGTGTAGCCCTGGCTGTTCTGGAACTCTCTTTGTAGACCAGGCTGGCCTCAAACTCACAGAGATCCGCCTTCCTCTGCCTCCCAAGTGCTGGGATTAAAGGCATGTGCCACTGCCACCAGGCTAGATTTTGTAATTTTATTAAACTAGAAATGGTTTTACATGTTAGGTGTCATTTTTATGAAAAGGGGATGGTCTTAGTTTTTCTTTTTGTGGAGATCTTCAAAATAAGCTTGAATCACACTCATATATAAATTGAGGCATACTTTGTGGACTTTTACATAAAAAGTTTATTCTTAATGTAAATTATCAATTTAAATTCTGAAACAGAGAATCTGTTTTAGATAGAGAAGTTGGACAGAGAGTTTTAGTTAACTTTCCACTGTGGTACAGTTCATCTGAGTGCTGAATCCAATGAGTAATAGAACTTAATTTTAAAATATGATGAAATCCTTGGATAATATTTACTGTTTAGAATGGAAGACTCTAGAGGAATCAGAGATCATTTAGTACGATTTATTTTTATTTATTTTGGCTTTGTCGTTTATGTGGGTTGCAGCCCAACAGAACTCAATGTCTTTTCTCACAAAAACTATTTCTCTTTTTTTTAACTTGACTTCATCATGTGCCAAGTCTTCTAAGCTGGGATCCTTGTGTCAGTATTGATTTCATCATCTCCTGCATCCCTTTTCAGATGATTTGAAATGCTGCCTGTTGTGTTTCCTATATGTCTCTCAAAAAACATACATCTCTCTATCCTTTCCCCCCTGTGTGTAATATGCAGTTGTTTAATTGATTCATTTAACAAGGTCTCCACAGTGTTTCCAGAATTATCTGTTTTTCCTCACCCCCTTTCTTCCTCCCTCTCTTTTTCATGTTTGAGGCAAGGTCTCACTGTATAGCACAGGCCTCAAATTTGCCATTCACCAATTCTTCTGCCTCTGCCTCTGCCTCTGCCTCTGCCTCTGCCTCTGCCTCTGCCTCTGCCTTCTTCAGAGTGGTAGGATTCAATAGTGTACCGTTATCCATGATCAGAGTATCTTTCTAAAACACAAGCATAGTCATGTTAGTTATCCTCATGTTCTAAGTTGTTTCAATGACCATTAAATAGAGGTGGGTGTGGAGGAAAGAGTAGTTTTGAAAGTAAGGTAATGGCATAAGAACAGTTGTTAGGAAAAGATTAATTTTCATGTAGCTTCTATATGTGATAATATGCAATTCAAGAAACATCTACCAAATAGTGAAAAATATGTGTAAGATTTCAAATGAATTGAGCCAAAAATGTGTTAAGTCAGCTGGAGATGTAATAAAAAGAAGTATATAAAAACAGTATTGGAGTATATATTTTGCTATATTTTATTGTTTATCTTTCAGACTTAGGACTTTGGAATCACCTTTTACCTTTACAAGTATTCTTTTAGACCTACTCTGTGCTGGGAGGGTGTGTTATCCTTTTTATTCCATCTTTTTTCACTCTCTTATTTTTGTATTTAGTTGGCCTGCAAACCATACTATGTTCTTGCAAAATGACTTGAAATTGAATCCTTCTGTTTCTGCAGTCATCACCCTAATCTAGGCTTTCATCACCTCATGTCTCAATTTG